CACCTGGACTAGGGAGGGCACGGGCCGTAGGTCAGGTCCACCTGGACTAGGGAGGGCGTGGGGCACAGGCCAGGGCCACCTGGACTAGGGAGGGCATGGGGCGTAGGTCAGGTCCTGGTGGACCAGAGAGGAGGTGTGGCATGTGCCAGGTCCAGCTGCACCAGGGAGGAGCCTGACACTGGCCAAGTTTTGGTGGACCACAGAGAGGGCAGGGCACAGGCCAGGTTGGTGGACCAGGGAGGGGGTGGACAGGGGCCAGGTCCTGCAGGACCAGTGGGGCGACAGACTGGGCCAGGTCCTGCTGGACAAGAGAAGGGACAGGGCTCTGGCCAAGTCCTGCTGGACGAGGGAGGAGGCAGACACAGGCCAGGCCCTACTGCCAAGGTTCGGCCAGTCTGCAGACCCTGGACAGTGGTGTGGGGCTCTCCTCCCCTCGTGCCCCCATTAAGGCGGGGTGAGGGCTGGGGCAGTGATCATGTCTCTGCGCTCCCTTTCCTCGCCCCAGGCGCCGCTTTCTCTGTTGGAGACCCGGCAGGTGTCTGGGCACTTGGGTTTGGGGTCCTGGAGGGGGTTTGCCCTGGGCCTGTGTGATCAGGGAGAGCTGAGGGGTGGTCCCTCCTGCCCACCGTAACGCCCACTGCTGGGCCTCTTCCAGGACTTCCTGAGGAAGGAGTTCAGCGAGGAGAACATCCTGTTCTGGCAGGCGTGTGAATATTTCAGCCATGTTCCCGCACACGACAAAAAAGAGGTAGGGCTCCGGCCGGGAGTGAAGGTGGGTGCAGGGCACGTGGGACAAGACTTCCAGACAGCGTCTCCTCAGAACACAGCTCTTCGCCCGCATGAGCGCCTTCAGCAGAAGGGCTCCCACCTGGCTCCATCAGGGCTGTGGGCAGGTGTGTCCACTCCCACCTGGCTCCATCGGGAGGCCAACATACAGGGCGACACAGAGAAGGCCTGGGGCACGCATCCACGTGGGGCTCAGTGCACCTGGGGCATTATCGTGGGCTCCTCACCCAGGGAGGCCCTGCACCCAGACCCGTGTGAAACCCATGGACAGTGTACACACACACACACACACACACATACGCAGGGCACCTGGAGCAGGTGTGTGGGCTCACACTGTGGCCCCTTCAGCTGTCCTTCAGGGCCCGGGAGATTTTCAGCAAGTTCCTGTGCAGTAAGGCCACCACCCCGGTCAACATCGACAGTCAAGCGCAGCTGGCCGACGACATCCTTACTGCCCCACACCCCGACATGTTCAAGGAGCAGCAGCTCCAGGTACTGTGAGGGGACCCCTCTCCTACCACGGGGCTGGGCCAGGCTGGAGAAGTCGAGGGGCAGAGAGGTGGGGAACCACGCTGTCATGGGGCTATCATGGTACTGCCAGCCCCCAGCTAGTTACCTGCATCGGCACGACCACACCTGTGCGTGTGTGGAGAAGGGGTGTGTGAGTCGGACGGTGGGTGGATTTTCAGGAACTGAACAGCATCACCGTGATGTAAAAGCGTGCCTTCAACCTACTAGCATTGAGAATACGCTTTCCAAAAAGTGTTCCTGGCCTTTCCAGAAGAGGCCACAGCCAAGTCACGTCAACGTTGGAGGAAGGACAGCAATGCCAGGCAGCTAGGGGCCCTGGTGGCACAGCAGCTAAATGCCTGGCTGTAACCCAAAGTCAGGTTCAAAGCCACCAGCCGTCAGCTTGGGTTAGAGCCTGCCCTGACAGGCTGGGGGTGGTTCCTCTCTGCCCTGCGGGTCGCTGTGAGTGGGAATCGCGCGGACAGTGACGGGTTTGGTTTTCTCACGCCCTCCCCGGAGCTGACCGGCGCTGACCGGGGCCAGGCTCTGAGCTGAGTCCTAGGTGGCTTGTCTGGCCTCCCAGTAGATAAGAGCTGCTGTGTGGGAGGAAGTCAGCGGGAAGTGGTCTAGGCGCCGGGCCTGGGCTGGGCGGGATGCCCCTCTGGAATGGTGTGGGCAGCGGGGGACACGATGGACTTCTGCCCCTGTTCTCTGTCACACTGACCCCTCAGATTTTCAACCTGATGAAGTTCGACAGCTACGCACGCTTCCTCAAGTCGCAGCTGTACCAGGAGTGCGTCCTGGCCGAGGTGGAGGGCCGCCCGCTGCCAGACGCCCACCAGGTGCCCAGTAGCCCAGCCTCCAAGCACAGTGCCGGCTCGGACCACTCCAACGTCTCCACACCCAAGAAGGTGCCCCCCGCTGGCCTCCCCTGGTGTCCCCAGATGAGAGTGGCCATGGGGACGGGAAATTATACCCATGCCCTTTCATCCTTCCCCTATTCCCAGGGGTCAGCCTTCCCAGAACTTGGGAGCCCATGATGGGCAGGGCCTCCCAATCCAGCTGTGGGAGGGGCTGGGCCCTTGTGGGAGGGGCCTGAGAGTCCAGCTGTGGATATGCAGGAGAACCCATACTGGGCGAGGCCTGGGAACCTGTGGTGGGAGGGGCTTAAGGGGCTGATGGGTGGGGCCTAGGAACTTGCAGTGGGAGGGGCCTCTGAGACCATGGTGGGCGGGACCTAGGAGCCTGAAGTGGGAGGGTGCTCAGAGCCTAGGGTGGGAGGGGCCTATTTGGTGGGCGGGGCCTCGGCGACTGCAGTCGCTGGGGCCTAGTGGAGATTCTTGTTTGTGGCGGGTGGCGCCTAGGAACCTGCAGGAGGTCTGTTGTGGGCAGGGCCTAGTAGCCTGTAGGGGGAGGGGCCTGTGTTTGTGGTGGGCGGGGCCTATGAGCCCACAGTGGGAGGGTGCTCCGAGCCTAGGGTGGGAGGGGCCTCAGAGACTGGTGGGTGGGTCCTCTGGAGAAGTTGTGGGCGTGGCCTATGAACCTGTAATGGGAGGGGTCTCTGGTGGGCGTGGCCTAGGAGCCTGCAGTGGGAGGATGCTCAGAGCCTAGGGTGGGAGAAGCCTCTGGTGGGCGGGGCCTCGGAGACCGTGGTGGGCGGGGCCTCAGAACACAGTGGGTGGGGCCACTGGGGTCCACGTGGACAGGCAGGAGCCGTGGTGGGAGGCACCCAGGTGATTCCTTGGCAGGGTGTGGACGGCAGTGTCCCTCGTCGGTGATGCCCGCATGGCAGCCGAGCATCTCTCCCCGACAGCTCAGCGGGAAATCGAAGTCGGGAAGGTCCCTGAATGAGGAGCCGGGGGAGGAGGACAGCGAGAAGAAACGAAAGGGCGCCTTTTTCTCCTGGTCACGGAACCGCAGCACCGGGCGGTCACAGAAGAAGAAGGACCAGGGCGCTCATCCCCATGGTGTGTGTGCGGCCACCCCTCGTTACAGCTTTCCGAGGCGGGCAGTGTGACCCCGTCAGCGGGCCTGACCGTGGGTGACCAGTCACCCCGAGTGCACGGAACACTCCCCAGCTCCAAGACCAGAGGAGGAGGGTCACAGCGGGGCGCTGCAGGCCACCCCTGGCAGCTCGCCTTGCTGACCTGACGGCCGTGGATGGTCCTGGGAGGCCCCACGGCCACGCTCTGTGGGCAGCGGCCAGGCAGAGGACTAAAGCATGGAGGAGGCCCAGGGGTGCACGATCGAGGGCTTGGTCATTAGAAGGACAGTGGGTACCCTGGCCGTCTGCGTCCAGCCGTGACAGCCGGGCAGTTCTGTCGCTCACGTGGCATGGTGGACATGGAGCCTCCAGGGTGGCCGCGGGTTTGCTTTTTAAACAGCCCCCAGGGGACGAGGGTCTGGAAGGATGTCTCTTCCCTAGACATTTTCAAGAAGGGACTTGTTTGTTGTGAAGAAGTGGGCTTGAGGCCTGTGGTCTCCATGTGTTACAGGACAGTGACCTTTAAAGAAAGAGAGCAGACCAGTGGAGGTCAGGGGTCCCTCATGGTGTGAGGAAGGGGCCTCGGGTCCCCATCCACGTGAGGAGAGGGCTAGGGCTTCTTTGCTGTGTGAGGAAGGGTCCAAGGCTCCCCCACCACTTGAGGAGAGAGCTGGGGATCCCCCACCGTGTGAGGAGAGGGCCATGCCCCCCACCATGTGAGGAAGGGACCAGGCTCCCACACCATGTGAGGAGAGGGCTGGGGATCCCCCACCATGTGAGGAGAGGGCTGGGAAGGGGCCAAGGCTCCCCCACCATATGAGGAGAGGGCAAGAGCACCCCCACTGTGTGAGGAGAGGGTGTGAACTCCCTCACTACTTGAGGAGGGGAAATGGAAGTGCTCTTCCAAAAAGGAGGGGTAACAGGAGGTGTGACACTTCCCACTGAGGGACACTCAGAGCTCCTGAGGCCTGGGTGCCAGTCGCCCGTAGCCCGTCCACTCTGCAGGACCCTGAGGCTGGGTTGGATCAGGGGGATGTTTAAGGAGCCGAGTGGACAAGGAGTCTTGGGAGTCCTTACTACGTGCTGTCCAGCTGATTCCGACTCACAGTGGCCCAAGTGCCACAGGACAGCGGCTCCTCCCCGAAGGGGTGGCCCTGGGAGCCACCCTCACCCCATGTCCTCCTACTTTCCTTGGTCTGGGTGGGTCTGGGGTTCTGTTACCCCTGGAAGGTGGGCCTGTGCTTCTGAAAGCTAGGGAATTGGGAGCCCTGGCGCCCTGGACGAGGCACGATGTGGAAGTGGCCATGAGTGTAGGAGCCTGTTCTCAGCACGCCACGTGTCAGCCTAGGACCATCACTGGGCAAGGCTTTGAAGACAGGAGGGCGTTCACATTAAGCATCCTTCGAGGACTTGAGAGACAGATGGGAGGACAAGGCTCTTATAGAGACCCTCGTGGGTCCCCTAGTGGGCAGTGCCAGCTCCTGCCCGCAGGGATGCTCTCACTGGGCCCAGACACCATGTGTGGAAATGAACACTCCGGAGCAGAGGAGGGACGGGCCGAGGCCCCATGCTGGGCACGTGCCACTGTTTCTGCAGGATGCCAGGTGGCATCTGCCTGCTGGGGACAGCTGACCGTAAACCCAGGACCCCGCCTCCCTGCCATGGTGGTGGGAGGGTTGTTAGAGGTCCCGTTCAGTGTGCCCGAGGTTTGAATGGAAGGGTGGATAGGTGGGCTTCCATGTAAATGACCATGGGAACAGTCACCTCTGACCCTCTGCGTCCATCCCCCCAGCACCCCCTCTTCATGTCAACGGGGGCCTGTGCCGCAGGGAATCTCAGGGCTCCACATCCTCAGCGGGGAGCCTGGACCTGGTGAGTGCTGTCCTGGCATCGTGGCCCCACCTCACCCCAAGTGCCTGCTGGGGGTGCAGCCCCCCAGCCAGGCTGCCTTCAGAAGGCAGGCAGTGGGGAGTACCCTACGGGCGAGGCCTGTGTGGGCTGAACGGGAAGGGTCATTGCTAGTAGGGTAGGTGGGGCACTGGGGACAGGCGGAGGCGTGGCATCAAGGCCAGGGTCCAGTGGCTGACACTTGCATTGTGTGGCCACGTGAGGCAGCGACTGTGCGGCTGGCGGACACTTTGGGACAGTCCCCTGACAGTGCACGTCTGCTGCCCCAGGCAGAGGCCTGCAGGGCCCTGGCACCTGAACAGGAGAAGGCCAAGCACTGCCGCGTGCACCTCCCGGATGGCACGGCCTGCTCAGTGCCCGTCAGGGCTGGCATGTCCATCAAAGAGGCCCTGGCCGGGCTGTGCGAGCGGCATGGCATCAATGGCGCGGCTGTGGACCTCTTCCTCGTCGGCGGAGACAAGGTACGTGTCCGTGGATGCAGGTTCCCTTCGGGGTGTTAACAGAGCAGGCCTGCGGTCACGGCTGGACCCTCAGGCTCGTCCCGCGTGGCCCTCGGCGGGGGTGCTGGCCGGACACCGCCTGCACTGACCATGCCCCTATCCCCGTGTCCACAGCCCCTAGTCCTACAGCAGGACAGCAGCATCCTGGAGGCCCGGGACCTGCGGCTTGAGAGGCGCACCCTGTTCCGGTGAGAGGAGGCGTGGCTCCTCGGGACCCCACCCCCGGGGTCCCCCCGCCCTGCTAGGAGATTGGCAAGAGGATGTGGACGCCCAAGGGCACCTCTGAACCCAGCAGCTAGGGAAACCTTACCGCCTCCGCTGAGGGCAGACCTGGTCTGGGGCCAGCCGCCCCATCAAGCAGCCCCGGCCCAGGCAGGGTCCCCGTCCATGGGCTCCGACTCTCGTGTGTGTTGAGAACCGAGGGCACCGCGGTCCAGTCCCTTGCTCAGCCTTATGACAAACGTTAGAAAAATCCCTCCAGGCTCCTTCTCACCTGGAGGGAAGCCCTTACCACTCACAGGTCAGCCTGGGCACTCTGGGGACCCGGGTGCCATAGCAGGATGTGGGGGTGGACACAGACACAGGCTTGGACATATGTTCGCAGTGAATGGTTCCTCTCTGTCCACCCCACTCCTGCAGCCTGGATCTTGTCCCCATCAACCGGTCTGTGGGTCTGAAGGCCAAGCCCACAAAGCCGGTCACGGAGGTGCTGAGGCCTGTGGTGGCCAAGTACGGCCTGGACCTGCGTGACCTTGCTGTCCGGCTGGTGAGTGCCCCTACTCTACCCCGACACTGCGTCTGTGGGCGCCCGAGCTTCATTACGCCTTGTCCTCCCAGTCCCCCTCCTCTCCCACCCAGTGGGGCTACCCTCGTGCTGGGCCCTGCTACGTGGGGTCTCAAGCTTATGTGGAGGACCAGGCTCTCGGGGGGATGCGGACGGGGAAGGTCGTGGGCTGATGGAGAGGACCAGGCTCTCGGGGGATGCGGACGGGGAAGGTCATGGGCTGATGGAGAGGGAAGGTGGAGAGGACCAGGCTCTGGGATTTGTGTGAACAGGACGGTCCCTGCTGTTTGAATTGTGGTTTTGGGCCGAGGAAACCACATGAAGCAAAGCAAAAGGCAGCCAGTCCCTACGGCTGGCCGTCAGAGCTGGAGAGCCTGGGGACACGGAGGTGGCTGCTAGCTGCCCAGCCGGCTGCATTGCTGAGTCAGCTCGTGTAATGTCCATGGTGGCCTCTCCAAGTGGGGCCCCTGAGCTCGGTGTGAGAGGGTCAGGAATCAAGCCATGTTGGGACAGGTCGAGGTGCTGAAGGCAGAATCCCCGTGGTGTTTGTCCCCGTGTTCAGATATTCTCATGAGAGGGGACAGTGGACAGTGTGAAACGTGAGATCTCGTTTGCACCGACCGGAAGTGGCTTCCCAACTCCCGTGATGAATGTTTATCATCAAGTGCCCCCCACCCCGCCTGCCTTTGCAATCTTTATCAGAGCTGCAATTTCAAGGAGATCTAGGATTTTCATTTTTTCTGCAACTAGCCCCAAAATTATTCATGAGCTCTGAATAGAAAAAGGAAAATGCTGAATTATTTACAGATAGTGGTTTCCAGGAGTAACCTGATGTCCACTTCCCATATGCTCGGACACCGACAGGCTTCTCCTGGGCTCTGTAGGTCCAGAATGTGAGAGAGGACGTGGCCTGAGGGAGGGATGGGGCCTGAGGGAGGGCCGTGGTAGAGGGGCGTGGTGACATGTTGAGGTAGCCTCTGGGTTTTATTATCTAGGTCAAGAGCAGTGCTGAGATTATATTAGAATTTAAGGGAGTAATTGGGAATTTTTATGCATTCTTAAAAAGTGCTAAAGGCATGAAGTATCCCATGAAGGTGCAGCCAGAGTGCTCTTTGGCGGCAAAGGTGATGAAACTTGGTCTCATACTTTGGACACGTTGCTAGGAGAGGCTGTTCCTTGGACAGGGATGTCATCCTTGCAAAGATGGGGGGACAGCGAAGGAGAAGACCCTCAGCCAAGTGGAGGGGCACAGTGACTGCAGCAGTGGGCTCGAGTGTTGAAAGTGATGGCACAAGATGGGACAGGCTTCCGACCTGTTGTTCGTGGCATCGCTATGAGTCCTGTTCCTCTGACGGCACTTCATAACAACAACGCACCTGAAAGAATTAATTGGTCGGCTTCATTCCGGGAAGAAATCTATGATCAAGAAACAGGAGTAACAAGGGAGGCGTTAAAACTGCTCTGAAGGAGTTAGCAAACAGCGAGGCCCTAGGAAATGGCACAGTGGGGCAGCAGCGGGCTCTAGTGTGTCGGGAAGGGTGAGGACGGCACAGGTCAGGACACGGTTCACACCTGTTGTTCACAGGGTAACTATGAGCCATTCTCATCTCTGTGGCACCTAACAAAAGCCTTAAAGTCGTTGGCGAATCATTTCCTGTGCTCGGGAACTGTGTCCTTCCGCCTCCCTCCTACCCTTGGCTGACACCAGCTGGCCACCCTCGGATGACAGCACATGCCCACCCAACTCACTGCAGGGGTCAGGCCGCCCTCGGATGACAGCACATGCCCAGCCTGGCTCCTCGGGCACCCCTGGGGTCAAGTGGGCTGCTCAGTGGACAGGCATCCTGAGTGAACCCACAGCAGGGCCCTTGGTCAGCCTGGTGACCTCTGGGAGCAGTCAGGCAGGGGTCCAAGTGACACAGTGCCCGGTGTGGTTCTGTCAGGCAGAAGGCAGCTGGCTGTTAGGCAGGGTCACTGCTGTGGCTCTGGGGGACCTGTTAACTCCCTTCTCCCGCTGCAGAGTGGCGAGCGGGCGCTCCTGGACCTTGGCGCCCCCATCTCCAGCCTGGATGGGCAGAGGGTCATTCTGGAGGAGAAGGACCCCTCCCGGGGGAAAGGTGAGTCGGTTCCTTCCAACGCTGATGCTCCCTACCTGTCCTCATACGACCTTGGCGTCTCAGGACACAGCCTGTGCTCTGTGAGCAAGGTGGTTAGCAGGGCCAAAGCCCTACACCCCTGCCAGGCCACGGCCCCTGAACTCCCCATCCCATCCCTGCCAGGTCATGGCCCCTCCCCCTGGCCATGCCACGGCCCCAAGGCCACGGCCCTACTCCCTTCCCGGGCCCTGGCCCTCCAGGCGCTTGAACTCGAGGCTGGTCGGGCTCCTTCCAGCTCTCTCCTAACCAGGACACCCGATGAGCTGTATCAGGCTGAGGCCGTGCCCATGATGGGCAGCTTGAGCAGCACTGTCTCCGATTTCTTGGTTTTGTGCTGTTGCGTTAGAACTAATCCACGGCTGACTCCGGCGGTTTTCAAAGGCCGTGAATCGCATGGGTGGGACTGCATGTATTTCTATCACCGAGCAGCTCGTCAGCCCCTTCTCCACAGGCCACCAGAGCTCCCTCGTCTAAGGTCTAAGAGACCTAAACCGGTCAGCTGGCTGGTTGTAGGAGCTTCCAGGACAGTAACGAGGCCATGCTCCCCAAGATGGTCTCTCAGAGCGTGTCCTCCTGCATGTGTCAGAGGTGACAGTCCCTTCTGAGTCCAGCCCAGAAGGCTAGGAGATGCGCGCAGGGCCACGTGGGTGCGGGCCACGTGTGAGCACTGACACATCATAATGCACAGGCATGTTCACCACGAGTGAGGGCACGTCCACCCCTCACACTGTGACCTGTGTGCACACAGGTGAGGGTACAGTCACCACAACCACACGCATGACGGTGCTTGAACCTCATGCGTGTGAACTTTACACACATGTGCACACACGTGCCAGTGAGTGTGCAGCACTTGTGTGAATATTTTACACTCACACACACCCCCAGGGAGCCTATGCCGCATGTGTAAACACATTACACACATGCGCACACACCCCAGGTAGAAGGCATCACCTGTGTGAACACTATATGCACATGCACACACCTCCCAGGTAGAATGCACCACCTGTGTAAACACATTACACACATACACACCCCAGGTAGACTGTACACCTGTGTAAACACATTACATACATACACATCCCAGTAGACTGTACCACCTGTGTGATTACATTACACACATGCGTGCACACCCCAGGTAGACTGCACCACCTGTGTGAACACGATACATGCACACACCCAGGGAGCACGCACCACATGTGTGAATATTTTACACTCACACACACCCCAGGGAGCACGCACCACCTGTGTGAACACATTACACACACACACGCCCCAGGGAGCATGCATCACCTGTGTAAGCACTTTACACACGCGTGAGAATGCATACACACACACAAGGGCACATTCATCTCAAGTCTGAGGACATGTACACACGCACACACACGAGGGCATTCACCTCAAGTGTGAAGACACACAAGGGGACATTCTTTGCAGGTGTGAAGATGCATTAAACACACACATAAACACGAGGGGGCCTTCACCTCAAGTGTGAAGACACATCACACACACACGGGACATTCATCGCAGGTTTGAAGACCTCTTACACGCACGCATGAGGGGCATTCACCTCAGGTGTGAAGACATGTCACTCACACACACACACACACACACACACACACACACACACGGGTGCATTAATCCTGAGTGTGAGGACATGTGACACACACCACTGAGGGTTTGTTCACCTCACAGGTGGTGGCATTTTCGCTGGAAGATCTCAGTGTCACTCTGTAAAAGGGGATTGAGCCCTGAGGGCCAGGTGCCCGGTCCCTTGTGCCATCAGCCTCCTTCCCTGTGTCCTGTGCTGGACGGGAGGCGAGGTGAGGACCCCCATGGCTCCCGCTTGTCTCTGGCTGTCCCCAGCCTGTGTGGGGTGTCTTCCCGCAGACGCTCTGTGAAGCTGCCGGGTCAGCTCCCTGGAGGCATGGATGGGACTCACGTCCCCGGCTGTCCTGACAGACACAGCCCCAACATTCCCTGTGGGCTCAGACCTTCTGGCCCACATCCTTACGCCGGGGAAGAGGGCTGACCTTCAGTGGGGATCTGGTTTTCTTGTGCCTACTGCCCAGGACAGGCAGAGGCTTTTGCAGGTGCGTGGTCAATAGGAATGCATCTTCTAAGAGAGCTTTCCAGAAGTCTACCTCTGCACACGGTCCCCTCATTTGCTGCTTCACCTCTGGACTGTAGGTCTGTGGGGTGTGGGACCTTCTCTCTGTGGCCTGGAGCCCAGATCCCACTGCTTTCAGAGCGCTGGGGGCCTGCACCCTTCCAAGGTGGACTCTCCTGCCCCTGGACAGTCCCCCTGCCCTGGACACTCTTCCCTGACCCTGGATAGTCCTCCCTGACCCTGGACAGTTCCCCTGCCCCTGGACACTCCACCCTCTCCTGGACAGTCCTCCCTGCCCCTGGACACTCCCCCTGCCCCTGGATAGTCCTCCCTGCCCCTGCACACTTCCCCACCCCTGGACACTCCTCCTCCTGTACACTCCCCCTGACCCTGGATAATCTCCCTGACCCTGGACAGTCCTCCCTGCCCCTGGACACTCCCCTGCCCCTGAACAGTCCCCCCTGCCCCTGAACAGTCCTCCCTGCCCCTGAGCACTCCTCCCTGCCCCTGGACAGTCATCTCTGCCCCTGGACACTCCCCCTTCCCCTGGACACCCCCACCCACCTCTGGACACTCCCCTGCCCCGAGGTAGCCGGCTGTGTTCCATGCTCAGCTAAGTCTGGAGGAAACACCAGGGGTCAACCGGCTTTCCTGAGATAGTGACCATGGCATTTCCCTCGCACCCCTGGTGGCCCGAGGAGGCCTCTGGAGGTATCCTTCCTGAACATGCACGCTGATCTCATGTGGTACAGGTGGGCCCTTCCCTTCATGGGCTCTCGGTCACCACACCCTCGTGGACAGCAGGTGCAGCCTCATCCCTCCGGTAGACCATGATAGCGGGGTGTGGAGATGGACATGAGCAATGCTGACCTGCACTGTCCTCCCACTCGGCTGTGGTCACCCGTGGGGACAGTGTGGCTCCTGGGAGGTGACCCGTGTCTCGCTGTGTTTGCTGTCCACAGATAAACAGAAGGGTGTGCCCGGCAAACCAAGTCTTAATCCCACGTCCAGAAGCCACGCAGCCACGGTAATTCTCTCCCCTGCCCGCCGGTCCCCAAGGCCCCTCGATTCCGATTCCGAGTGTCCCCCACCAGCACCTTGTCCTGTGGGCACACTTGAACCCTCGCCTTGGCCTGCTCTGGTCCATTCCTGGGCCCTCCTCCGCCCTGCAGTGGTGTGGCAGTGCCCTCACTGGCCCTCCAGCCATCCCCTCTGCCCACCCTATGTCCCTGTTCCCCCCCAGCTCTGGCCTGTAACCTGGGGGCCACGGGCCGGGCACGTGGGCCTGAGCAGGACTTTGCCTTTCCTTCTGATGCAGGGAGAGGAGAGGCCGCTAGGGAAGTCTAACTCCATTAAGATAAAAGGCGAGAACGGCAGAAGTGCTAGGGACCCCCGGCTCTCAAAGCGTGAAGAATCTATTGCAAAGATTGGGAAAAAAAAGTATCAGAAAATTAATTTGGACGAAGCTGAGGGTAGGTGTCCTTTCTACAGCTTGCTTGTTCTGTGGTGGTTGTGACAACGCTGTCCAAGTGGTCACTGAGTGGCCACCGTCCTCGTGTCCTGCCGTCCCCATGTCCCTTAGTGAAAGACAGTGTCCATGCACACCAGCTCCAGAGCATGAGCACCTCCTGACCCTCTGACCACCAGGTGGATGACCCGGCCACCACTTCCTGCAGGCCTCACTCTCCCTTTCCGGGGTCGAGCCTCCCTTAGCGTTGGCCTGGCAGGGCCCACGGGGAGCTCTGGTGACCAGCCCCTAGGCTGTGTCTGCTGCCCATGGAGCAAGCATTAGAGGTCTGAGTGTGACCGAAGACTGTCCCCAGACCCCTGTTAGGTGTCATCGGTACTGACTCCGAGCTGGCCCTCCAGCGGGCTCTCAGAGGCTGTAAATCGCACGAGAGGAGACTTCCCATCGTTCTCCCATGGAGCGGGCCGGTGGATTTGAACTGAATGCCTGTGGGTTGTCAGCTTAACTCCCTCCCACCAAACACCTGGAGCTCCCTGGGGGAACAGGAGAGGCAGTAGACAGGGAGAGGGGAGCAAACGCTGCTCTCGGGCGTCTATCCTGGCCACACCCTTAAGGGGCGCTGTTGCTGCACCCTTTTGTCTGGTGAACAGCTCCTGGAGCTGGCCCACCCAGCACTGTGGGACCCGGTCCCCCAGGGCACGTACCCTACTCCTGCCCTCGATCCTTGGGGGCCCCAGACACACAGAGATGGGACACACCCTGTCGTTCGCCAGCAGCTCCAGAGATAAGCTCCCCGCTGCCTGGGAGACCCTGGGGAGCAGTGTGTGAGTGGGTCGGCCAGTCCCAGCCCCTGCTGCTCAGAACAGGACGGCCCTGGTGGCGCAGTGGGCTGTGTTGGTTGGGGGGAAGGCTGTGGCTGTTGGCCAGCACTGTGCGGCCTGCAGGCGCCGTGTTGAGATGGACTTGGGCTGTGGGCTTAGGGCTTAGGCTGTTGGATTGAAACCCCAGTCAAGTTCAGTGAAGTACCTGAGTGGATGGGGAGGATGGGCAGCAGGCTGCAGGGACACTGGGTGACCAGGGCTGGGAGGCCCCTGGGGGGGGTGGAGGGAGACCTGGCTGGGAGCAGCTGCCCTGTCATGAGCCTGGTGTGGAGATGGGCATCCCCCTCATGAGCCCAGGAGCCCTACCCTGTGCTGGGGTGGGGGGATTTTGAAAGGCAGGCCCTCCAGGGTAGTGTAGCAAGCCATTTGCACAACTGAAGTCTCCGTGGCCTTGGGTGGGGAACTGCAGAGCCCCTCCCAGAGCAGGGAGTTTGGCTCCCAGGGAGAGGCCCCCAGAGGAGAGAGCTGGGCCCCCAGGGGAGGGAGCTGGCCCCCAGAGGAGGGAGCTGGCCCCCAGAGGAGGGAGCGGGGCCCCCAGAGGAGGGAGCGAGGCCCCCAGAGGAGGGAGCGAGGCCCCCAGAGCAGGGAGTTTGGCCCCCAGGACGAGGCCCCCAGGGCAGGGAGCTCCTCTGAAGAGTGGACCCCATGGTCCACCAGGTCCGGGCAGAGGACGGTGTGTGGTCCTGGGCTCTGACCGCCCTGTGCTCTCTCCTCTTTCCACCCCCGTAGAGTTTTTTGAGCTTATTTCCAAAGCTCAGAGCAGCCGAGCAGATGACCAGCGCGGGCTGCTGAGAAAGGAGGACCTGGTGCTCCCCGAGTTCCTCCGCCTGCCACCTGCCCCCACTGCCCCCAAGGGCCTGGGCAAGAGACTGGGCAAGAGCCACAGCCAGGACAGCGCGCCCCCCGGCCAGAGGTGGGGGGCTCCAGAATGCGGGAGCCTCCCGTCCAGCCCTGGTTCAGGAGGCAGCCAGCCGCAGTCCCCCGCCGCCTTGTCACTGCCCGGCCCCTGGGCACCCTGCACCTCAGTGCAGGAAGGAGGTGTGAAGTCCTGGAGGCCTCAGCGTAGGGAGACGGAGGGCACCCCGACCCTGGACGAGGACCCCACAGCTGACCTGACTCTGGTGGGGGAGGGGGACATCAGCAGCCCCAACAGCACCCTGTTGCCACCTCCGCCCGCCCCGCTGGCCGGCACCCCACCGCTGGACACGCCGGACACGCCGGACACGCCAGAAGCGCAGGCACCAGGTACCTCCAGAGTGTGACCCACTGGGACCCTACACCTGGTTCTGGGCCCAAGAGACAGTCCCCGAGGGCAGGACGCCAGGACACATGATGTCCACTACCAGCATCCCTCCTTCCCCGGCCAGCAGGGGCGTGGTCAGTGGTCCAGCGTCCCTCCCTGCAGGGGCCCGGGTGAGAGGGAGTGGACATGTCCAGGAGAGGCCCCAGTGGGACAAGTTAGGTCTCACACGCCAGAGGCCGTGTGGCTCGGGCACCTGTGTGGCAAGGGGCAGTGAGGCTTCAGACCTAATTGTCCCCACCACCAACCAGTGGCATGGCGGAGTGGCAGCCTCTGCCGTCCACCCAGACCCCCCCCCTGGTGCATGTCTGATGGCGTGATAGGGTGTTTGGGGACATCAGGGCTGACGTGCCCACAGTGCCGGTTAGACTGTGGGCGTGGCCATCAATTGGCCCCGCCCCGCCCCGCCCCTGCTCTGTCCAGGTAGCAGGCCCTGCCCCTTGGCTCCGCTCCCACCTGTTGGCCCCGCCCCCACCCGTGTGCTGTCCCCCACGCCCTCCTCTCTATCCTGGGGCTTCTTGTAGCTGACCCCCGTGGGGGAGCGGTCATCTCGTGCCGAGGGGGCGATTCTGGGGAGGGGTCTGAACGCTGCACCCTGCATGCCACCCTTAATCTCCCCTCCACTCCCTGCCCTGTGGATCCCTCTCCGCGTCTGTCTGTCTGTTCAAAGTAATAAATTCCAGTCACCGCTGGACTCCTGAAAACTCTGTCTCTATTCACTTGGGGCGCAGGGACAGTGGAGGGGTCTCCAGGGAACTAGTGGGGGGGCCGCACTGGGTGGGAGGGGTCGCGCACCGCTCTCGTGACGTAGACGTCAACGGTTCGCTCAGATGACCTTTCAGCTTCGCCACCACTCCGATATCTGCCTGCCGGTCCCCTCTGTCCACCATCTATCTGCTCCCCCACCCCAAAGCGGCCAGGAGGAATGGCGGGGGGCATAGCGCCTGGCTCCCATGCATATCTCAACATTGAGGGTCAGGAGTGGGCAGTCAGGGGACCCTCAGGGGCTTTGGACTGAGGAGGATGAGGGTCAGGGTGAGGGGCAGCTGAGGACAGGCATCAGGGAGACGTGTGGGGCTGGGCAGTGGGGTGAAGAGCTGTGGGTGGGAATAAAGGCCTGGGGTGTTTGAATTCTTGCTGAAAGCCCAACTCAGCGGCTCCCACCTGGCTCACGAGGCCATCAGGGTGGTCCTCTCAGGGATGTCGTAGGTCCTGTCCTTTGGGCTTGGCCAGCAAAGCCATTGCGTGCCCACATGCTAGGGGCAGCTGGCTCCCACCTACCTGTTCCCACTGCCACCCGTTCGCCCCCTGTGCCACCTTCCATGTGGTCCTGACCTCCAGGAGAGACACAGCTCACAGGGTCTGCCCGTCCCTGTGCCTCCCACGCTGCTGGACCAAAGCTGCCCCACCCAGCGTGAGCTGAGACTTCTGGCTGGGGACCCTCTCCCTGCCCCAAAGCAGCATCCCAACCCACATTACAGACACCCACCAGGCTCTGTCCCCATGTCGCCCAGCACAGACACCCACCCGGCTCTGTCCCCATGTACCCCAGCACAGACCTCCCCCGCTCGGCTCTGTCCCTATGTTCCTCCTGTCCCCCAGCACAGACCCCCCCCACTCGGCTCTGTCCCCATGTTCCCCAGCACAGACCCCCCCACACTCGGCTCTGTCCCCATATTCCCCAGCACAGATTCCCACCTGGCTGTGTCCCCTGTGTCCCCCAGTACAGACCTCCCCACCCGGCTCTGTCCCCGTGTCCCCCAACACAGACTCCCACCTGGCTGTGTCCCCCACCCGGCTCTGTCCCTGGGTTCCCCGTGTCCCCCAGCACAGACCCCCCTCACCCTGCTCTGTCCCCGTGTCCCCCAGCACAGACTCCCACCTGGCTGTGGTCCCGTGTCGCCCAGCACAGACACCCCCCCCCAACTCTGTCTCCGTGTTCCTCCCCACATGTTACTCATCCTGCACAGGCCCCACCATCCTCTGCTCCCGCCTCTCAGCTTCGTCAGCCCTGGCCCCAGCCCTCCCACACTGGGTCCAGGCAGCAGCCGCAGGTGGCGAAGGAGGTCCACTGATGGGGTACCTCTGCAGTACCCCACAGGTCCCCACCACACATCTGTGTCTGTGCGGGAACCTGAGCAGGTCAGGTGGTGGCTCCCTCCGCCTTGTTGCTCAGCTGCCCTCAATCTCCAATCCTCCTCCAGACCCTGGTCGACCCTCAGCCCCTCAGGCGTCCTCCCTGCCCAGACCAGCACCCTGGGTCTCCCGTCCCTCCTGAATGTTCCTCAACACCCCTCCTGCCTCGTCCCTCCTTACCTCACCCCACCTCAGTGTCTCCAGCCTGGCACCCCATCTCCAAGCTTCCAGTCCCCACGGTCTCTTCTGGATCACCTGACGTGACAGCCACACCCTGCCCAGTCTCCGCCCTTGGCCCACAGACCTACAAGTCAGTCTGTGCTGGGAGTCACCCTTGGAATGCCCCATTTCTGCAGCTCCCCAGAGACACCCCACACGTCACCCTCCTGGCACCAAGTAGCTGTCCGCACAGGACCCAGCTGGAACCAGGGCCACCCAGTGCCCCCTCTGTCCCCTAAAAGCCTGGAGTGAGAGCTGGGACTTGGGGTGAGCCAAGGTGGCATTCCCTGGACTCCGAGCCTGTTAGACAGCCACCAGGGGCCTCTTATCAATGGTCCCGAGGGTGTGGCCTAAAAGGCCACTCGGCACCCGCCAGGCCATGGGGCAGACCTCTGCTCACTGGACAGACAGCTCGGTGGCAGGCTGAGGACAGCCAGCAGACGGGCGCGTCAGAGCTGGGGTGGACCGGCCACCGAGGCTCGGGGTGGAGAGGATGGTGAGCAAAGCGTGAGGGACACAGGGCAGACATGTCAGCTGTGGAGGGCCTTGCTGTGACCCCTAGACTCAGCTGTCCCTATGGGCCACTGTCCTGGGCAGACCTAATCATGAGGCCACTAGGCCAGGGCCTGGGCCAGTCACTGGGTCGGGACCTGGGAGAGACTTGGGCAGGCCTGTACCTCCAGGGAACTGTGCCCCCAGAACCAGGGCCTGCCCTCTGAGGGCCCATCTTCTGTGGCTGGGGGACCAGGTGAGTATGGACACTAATGGCCACCACAGACATGCCCTGAGTGGGGGGGGACAAATAACCAGGGGTGCAAACCTCACCCCTCCCCGTGCTCAGCTCCTCTGCCTCAGCCTCGCCCTTGGCCCTGGACCTGGGTCCTTTGACATCCACTAAAAGACATGCTGAGAGAAATTTCTCAAAACGGGCCTCAGGTGGCAAGGGGTGTCAGGCGTACCCGCAAACCTCTCACGTTGCTCGGCCTCTCAGGCCTGCATGTTGGTCTGGACAAAGGAGCGCTGTCTGATTTGGGGTCCCACAGATGGCCCCACTGTCCTGCTCCTGTCGGTCTGTGGACGAGGTCAGCATGGCTGCCTGACTAGGAGCCGAGGGCCCTAAGTGAGCCCGCGGGCAGTGGCTGGGAGAGACTGGGGCCACGGTGTTGGGGAGGTGCTGTTGGCTCACCTCACACCACTTCTCGTCTCTGTCACCCCCTTGAGGTCTTCTCAGCACAGCTAGGGAAACTGAGGCTCAAGGAGCCACCTCTGGGCCGCAGACCTCCTGGCCTCACCCACCTTCCCAGGATGGCCCCCACTGCCTGCACTGGGCCCACGGTCTGAGGGCCAGCCCTGCAGACAGTACCCACCCTGGAGGGCCTCCAGGGGGGGTGGGCGTCCAGGCAGGGTGACAAGGCATCAGCCAGGGGCCACAGCTCAGTCCCTGCATCTCCTTGCACGTGGGAGAGCGTGGGGCGGGCAGGGACTTCTACAGATGGATCCCAGCCCTCCTCTCCTCCAGCCTATCCCATCTGTCCTGTTTCCTTAGCCATCACACCCCTGCCCAGCTCTCCTGGATTGGTTGAGGCGCTGTGGTCCCCACACAAGGTGCCTGCCACCTTCTCACATCCTAGCTCTGGTCCAGGGATGTCCCGGCCCGGGGGAGGGGGCTGGCGGGGGAAGAGAGGCAGTGATCTAGGAAGGCTGCCTGGAGGAGGCCCCCAGCTCTGGTCCAACGATGTCCCAGCCGGGACGGGGGAGGGGAGGTGGCGGAAGAGAGGCAGTGATCCAAGAAGGCTGCCTGGAGGAGGTGCCCTGCCTAGGAGGGTAAGGAGGAGGGCAGAGGGTACAAGGCTGGCCTAGGAGAATGGCCTCTCTCCGCATGTTGGTGGATGGTTCTGTCAATGGTGGCCAATCCTCCCTGCTGCTTCGATTGTCCGGCCAAGGGGCCTGTGTGGAGGAGGGTGGGTGGGCAGCCCAGCCCTGCCCCATGGAGTATGAAGACCCTGGGACCAGTGATGACAGTTCTCCCTTCTCCTGACAGGTGGTGCCCATGGCAGCTGCGGGCTCCCGGTCAGGCGGATCATCGATGTGGACTACGTCACAGGCCCGGCGTCCGCACGGGCCAGCAGTGTTCTGGGGGTGCAGGCAGGCCATGGGCGGTCCTGGGCTGGGGGTGCCCAGGAGTCAGGAGCCCCCAGCCCTCCTGCCCCAGGGGAGCCCAAGGCCGTGGCTGCCCAACACCACGCCACTTTCGTCTGACCTTTGAGCGCAACTCTCCCATGGACACTTGGGTGGAGGCCTAAGTGCTGAAGAGATGTCCCCAAGGGACGTGTCCCCTGTGCTGACACCTGAGGAGAGGGTGGGGGATCAGCCTGACTCTGGTGACTGCAGGGTCCTGGACCCCGCCCTGCCGTGCACAGCCTCCATTCATCCCTAAATAAAGCCTATGGGGCCACCCTACCTGGTGTCGGGCCTTGGCTGGGGGGCGGGGGAGGACACACAGAGGTGCCTGGATGGAGGTGTCGGCAGCAGATGAGTCTTGGTGACAAGGCCCAGGTGCTGTGGAGGGAGGCGTCACAGGAGGTATGAGAAGATGCTGGCCCCTTGCCGTCTTGCTCCCCAGACTGGAGCACACCTGGGGACCCCCACACCCAGTCCCCACCTGCAGGCCCGGGGTGGTGTGCAGCCTGTCCTTGGCTGCAGTCATTTCTCCAGGAATGCAGCAGGTGGAGACAAGGCCCAGCCTGAAGCCGTGTCCCCAACAATGTGTCATAAAATCACACAGGGAGTTGGACACGGCTCTGTGACAGCAGTAGGCCTCCTACCTGCATGGCAGCAGAGGCTGAGCTGACCACTGCTGTCCATCTGCCTTGGGGGTCTGGGGGCCTCTGTGGAGTGTCATCAGAGCCAACAGCGGGACTCCTGAGGACAGCGCCGTCCCAGGCCCCCCAGACTGTGTATCCTGGGGTCACGGTGAGGATGGCTTCCGCCGTCAGTCCTGGGCCTCTGTGGGCTGGAGACGTCTGGGCTTTACCAAAGCACAAGGTGGTGCCTGGAGAAGCAAGGTTCAGGGAGCGGTGGGGGGAGCGTCAGGTGCGCCTCAGGCCTGAGGGCAGCGTGGAGAGACCAGCGGGAGCCTGGCTTCAGAAGGTGCAGGAGAGCGACCCCTCTGTCCTCAGGGCCACACAGGACAGGTGGCTCTTGCAGGGAGCCCTGGTCAGTGGGGGTCCTCCACCACCTTGAGGCTCACAGCACCCTCTCCCAGTGGGGTGGGGCTCAGAGAGGGGACACCAGCCTCCACACTCTGTGCTGGCCTATGGCACTGGACTGTGATAGGGGGTGGTCAGGCTGGCGGACCCTTCCTGAAGACTGGACATTGCGACCACTGGTGGGTTAAATACACCTGGACTCGGGGAAATCCTGGCAAGGCTGGGCCTGAGCTGGCCCCCAGGGATGGACTGGGTCTGGACCCCAGGTGCGGAGGGAGTTATGAGAGGCTGTGCAGGAAGGGGTAGGCTGGCTGGGTGGTCTTGGGGAGCAGTGAGGACAGGGTGTCAGCCCCCAGCCCTCGGAAGTTGGCAGTGACAGGCCCTGGAAATGCTGATGGGGTGCTTCCTGGAGGGGGCTGATCTGGGATCTGGGCTGTCATTCTGGGGGGCTTCCAGGAGGGGGCTGAGCTGGGATCTGGGCTGTCATTCTGGGGGGCTTCCTGGAGGAGGCTGAGCTGAGATCTGGGGTATCATTCTGGGGGGCTTCCTGGAGGAGGCTGAGCTGGGATCTGTGGTGTCATTCTGGGGGGCTTCCTGGAGGAGGCTGAGCTGGGATCTGGGGAAGTAGTGGGAGGAGATCTAGGGTTCTGAGGCTGAGGACCTGGCAGGGAGGCTGACAGAGGTTAATCATTGTCAGGCAGCCTTGACACCCAGCTGCCCTGGTTTATCTGTCCAGTTGCCCTTTGGCCAGGTCAGGAACAGCCATGGGGTGCTGGGGCCGGGTCCCCCACTGCCCCTCACCGGAACCATTTCTGCTGCTGCTGCTACTGCTGGCACCTAAGGTGGCCCAGCCACAGGCAGGCAAGGTGAGTTCCAGCCTCGCTGACCGTCCACATGCCCCCGACACCTTCAAGGCCCAGTTCCCACGGCCCTGTTCCCACAGCCCAGCAGAGCAGATGGCGGGGTCTCTATGTGGCCTGAGCGCCCAAAGTGGCTGCTCTGAGGCACATCCGCAGGCCTGGGGATGGGGTGACCTGCAGCCTGACCCAGCCCAGCCCTCTGGCTTCTCCTAGAACCAAACCGAGCACCCAGAACTCAGCACTTCAGCAACTTCCGAGGCCCCCAGCACTCAGATGGCCCCAGGCCCCTCTGCAGCCCCCTCGAAGGTGATGACGACCATGACCCCGGCAGTGAGCACGCTGGCGGCTATGGGAGAGGGGCCCCTTGGTGAGGGGCTGCCCCCCATCCCCACGGCAGCCTCCTCAGGCCGAACTGAGGGCCGAGGTGGGTCAGGGCTTTGGTGGAGGCTCGGGGTCGGAGTACCGAGCATGTCTCCCCTGACCCCATCCCCTGCCCACCCCGCAGTGCTCACAGAGGACGGGAAGGCCTGCAGGTTCCCTTTCCGCTACGGTGGCCGCATGCACCAGGCCTGCACCTTGGAGGGGGGCGCCCGCCGGAAGTGGTGGGTCCTGGCCTGGCTCTGTGTCCACCCAGCGCCTCTCCTTCTCCACCTCACACCGCTGGACCCTGGCCCTTCATCCACCTGCCCTGTGTCCACCCAGGACCCCTCCTCCACCTCATACCCCCAGAGCCCCTGGCCCTTCATCCACCCTGACCCCTGCTCCCGTGTACACCCAGGGCCCCTCCTTCTCCATCCCACAACCCCAGACCCCATGTCCCTTCATCCATCATGACCCCCTGCCCTAGTACACCCAGGGCCCTTCCTTCGCCCCACACCACCTGATCCCTCATCTCCCTGGCCCTTACCCATTCTGACACCATGGTCCTGTGTCCACCCAGGGCCTCTCCTTCACCCCATTCCCCCTGGCCCCATACCAGGTCACGTGGCCACTGCTAGGCCCCTGACTCTGTGCCCACCAGGCCCCTCATCTCCTTCCTTGACCCCTCACTCCTCAGGCGTCCCTCCCTTACCCCAGCCTCCCATCCAGTGAAGATCTTGGGGCACAGAGTGCTGATGTGAGAGTGAATGGGTGCGGGGGTGGGACCCCCATCTCGTATCCCGCCCTCCAGGTGTGCCACGACCCACAACTACGACCGGGACCGGGCCTGGGGCTACTGCGCCCCTGTGACCACTACGTCCCCAGGAGCTCCAGGTGGGTGACCCTGCAAGCTCCTCCCAGCTCTGGGGACCCTCACCACCACTAGAGGCCTGTGAAGTCCCACACCTCCAGGGCCCCCAGGTGGACGACACTGTGAGGCTTCCTCTTCCTGGGGTCAAGCGAGTGACCTAATGAAACCCCCTCCTCTGGGGGTCAGGCAAGTGACACAGCAAGACCCCACCTCTGGGGCCCAGGAGGATGACATAATGAAACCCTCCATCCAGGGGCCAGGCAGGGGTCACAGTGAGACCCCCCACCTCCAAGGGCCAGGGGGTCACAACGAGACCTCCCTCCACCTCCCGAGGCCAGGTGGGTGACACAGCAAGACCCCCACACACCCGGAGGCCAGGTGGGTGTCAGGGCAAGACCCTCCCACATCCGGGGCCAGGCAGGTGCTCGAACTGCAGGGCAACCTGAGCTCAATCAGAAGTGCTGGGCTTGAGAGTCCCTCATGGACAGTCTGGGGTGAAAGAGCGTGTTGGTCACATCAACTGAGGGGCGTGCAGGGGGGCAGCCTAAAGTAAAACGGGTATCCAGGGTGAGTCCCACTGCAGCCTAGGAGTGGAGGGCAGAGTGGTCAGCACAGGAACTGTCCGAGGGGAGCGTGGGGGTGATGGGGTGGGTGGTGGTTACAAGTGGGTGCCCTGTGGGGGCATCGGGTGATAGGGTGTGACAGAGTAATGGTGGGTGCCCTGTGGGTGTAGGGTGATGGGGTGTGTAATGGGGTAGCAGTGGGTGCCCTGTGGGTGTGGGGTGATGAGATGGGTGACTGACAGGGTAATGGCGGGTGTCCTGTGGGGTGTGAGGTGATGGAGTGGGTGATGAGTAAAAGTGGGTGTCCTGTGTGGATGTGGGATGATGGAGCCGCGGTGGTGATGGGGTGGGTGTCCTGTGTGGGCATGGGGTGATGGAGCAGTGGTGGGTGCCTGGTGGGGGTGTGGGGTGATGCAGTGGGTGATGGGCAAATGTGGGTGTCCTATGTTGGTGTGGTGATGGGGTGGTGTCCTGTGTGGGCGTGGGGTGGTGGGCAGTGGTGGGTGCCCAGTGGAGGTGTGAGATAATGGAGTGGGTGACGGGTAAAAGTGGGTTTCCTGTGTGGGTGTGGGGTGCTGGAGCAGCAGTGGGTGCCCAGTTGGGGGTGTGGGGTGTTGTGGTGGGTGATGGGTAAAGGTGGGTGTCCTGTGTAGGTGTGGAGTGATGGGGAAGTGGTGAGTGCCTGGTGGGGGCTGGGGGGTGATGGAGTGGGTGACAAGGTAATGGTGGTTCCCTGTGGGGTGTTGGATGATGGGGTGTGTGCCCTGTTCAAGGTCCTGTGGTCATTACTGGGGGCGCATCGCCCCCTGGTGGTCAGTTGGGGCACTGTGGTTGCAACCTTGAACCCTAGACAGAAGCAGGGATGGATGAACAGGGCACAGCAGGGTCCCCAGTCATTTGCTGGGAACTGCTGCCTGGCTGCGTATGAACGGCCAGCCCTGAGTCCCAACTGCTGACCCTGGAGAGGTAGGCTGGACGCTGCTAAGGTGGGCTGAGGCTCCAGGGCAGCACCGTCGATGGACCACAGGCCCCAGGGGCTGCACACCAGGGGTGTCTGCTTTTGGGGAACAAGGTCCGGCCTTGCCCGGCCAGCCCCTCACAGCCTTTCTGGTGCCCCCAGGTGTCCTGAACCCCTGTACCTCCAACCCCTGCCTCCATGGAGGCACCTGCTCCGTCGCCCAGGATGCTGCCTCTTACCTCTGCTCCTGCCCCGTGGCCTTCACCGGCCAGGACTGCGGCCAGGGTGAGTGGTCGGTGGGGGCACTGCAGTGCCTGGGGGCCGGCTGAGTGGGGCGCGGGCCTGGGTGGGCTCGGGGCTCACGACCTGTCCCCAGAGAAGTGCTTTGATGAGACGCGCTATGAGTATTTGGAGTCCGGGGAGCGCTGGGCCCGGGTGCACCAGGGACGCGTGGAGCAGTGTGGCTGCGAGGAGGGACACATCCAGTGTGAGGACACGCAGCATGAAGGTATGCCCGGTCACACGGCGGGGGTGGAAGGACACCCGAGCCACCATCCTGGCCTGAGCTCTCGCGCATGGCTGCCCCAGCTTGCCTGAATAACCCCTGCCTGAACGGGGGCACCTGCCACCTGGTCAAGGCCACGGGGACCACCGTCTGCGCCTGCCCGCTGGGTCACGCAGGCCGGCTCTGCAACATCGGTGAGTGGCCAGGGCCACGGGGACGGGTGCGGAGGGAGGAGCTGTGGCCAGGCCTCACCTCCTGCCGGTGCGCCCCCAGTGCCTGCCCAGCGCTGCTTCGTGGGCAATGGGACGGAGTACCGAGGGGTGGCCCGCACGGCGGCCTCAGGCCTCAGCTGCCTGGCCTGGAACTCAGACCTGCTCTACCAGGAGCTGCATGTGGACTCGGTGGGCGCCGCCGCGCTGCTCGGCCTCGGGCCCCACGCCTACTGCCGGTCAGCACCCTTCCTGAGCTGCCCCACCAAGGACAGGGCCCCTCTATGCAGTCCACTGAGGTTCCCCCCCCATCACACCTGGGGCTTCTCTGACCGGGGTGTGTGTGTGTGTGTGTGTGTGTGTGTGTGTGTGTGTGTGCGCGCGCGCACTGACTCAGGCCAGTGAAGGTTTGAACCAGCCGTCCCCAGCAGCGAGAAGAGCTATAGTTTGGCCCGGGCTGCGCCCCTGGTTCAGGGTGTCCTGGGTTCAGCACCCCTTTCCCACCTTTGTCAGGAACCCAGACAAGGACGAGAGGCCCTGGTGCTACGTGGTCAAGGACAACACTCTCTCCTGGGAGTATTGCCGCCTGGAGGCCTGCGGTGCGTGGGGCTGGCAGGGCGCAGGGCCGCGTGGGCGCAGGGCCGCCTGTGGAGGGGAAACCGGGCACAAAGAGCGAGGCGCGGCCTGTGCAGGGGAGGGCGGGAGTGGGGCTGGGCACAGAGGTTGAGATTAGGGCTCAGAGCTAGGAGGGATGGTGAGAACCACCTTGTGGCCTGCGTCAGGGTGGCGAGTATGCACGAGGACAGAGTGGGGTGGTCTTGGGGGGCATGGCGCAGTCTGTCGCGGGGTTGGAGGGGAGCCAGGAGCTGGGGAAGCGCATGGATGGCACGACCTGTGGTGCCCTGGGTGCAGGGACGCCTGGTGCGGCCTGGCGGACACGGAGCGGAGGCCTGCTGGGGCGCTGTAGTAACGAGGTGCAGGGGTTCCTGGGGGAGGTGCAGGGGTTCCTGGGGGCAGCTTGCGGTGTACCTGGAGGGCAGCCTGTGGGTTCCTTGTTCAGTGCAGGGATCCTGTGTCCTGCCCTGAGGTACTGGTCCCCTCTCTCCCTGGAGGACCCCTCCCACCTGAGTGAGGTTCATTGGTGCCCCAGAGGCTGAGGCCCAGGGAGCGAGTTAGTGCTGGTGAGGGCAGAGCTGGGCGCAAAGCCTGGGCTCAGAATGACCAAAGAGGGGACCGATGCAGAAGGCGGGGACCCCCACGGACCTGGGCAGAGTGGGCTGTGTGATCTTCTCTGCCTACTTGTGTCTGGGGCCCTGGCTGGGGCACGGGTGTGATCCTGAGACCTCTGGTTCTAGAAACCCTAGGCAGAAACCATCTCCCCGCCGCCCCCGAAGTCCTGCTGAGCCTGCCGGAGCCGGCGACAGGTGGGCGGCGGGCCTGTGGGAAGCGGCACAAGAAGAGGACCTTCCTGCGGCCCCGCATCGTCGGGGGCTCCGCCGCCCTCCCCGGCTCCCACCCCTGGCTGGCCGCCCTCTACATTGAGGACCGGTTCTGCGCCGGCAGCCTCATCCACACCTGCTGGGTGGTGTCTGCAGCCCACTGCTTCTCCAACAGGTGAGTCGGTTCCTCAACACCTGGGCCAGGGCCACCTCGCTGTCCTTCAGGCACTTCCCCATCTGGTCGCCGGATGGCGCAGTGATAAAGCGCACAGCCTGCAAAGGCCGAAGCCCTGGAAGGTCAAGGGCGGTCACCCCCTTGGCTAGGTCCTGGCGGGGAGGGGGCTGAGCTGCTTGCTTTTGGAAAACGCCCACCTACCACGTACACCTCCAGGCCAGTGACCCCAAGACCGGCCCCCGCAAGATTAAGGCAAGGGTCTGGCAGGGAAGGGGCCGGGATTGGGGGAGCAGGAGGAGTTAGGGTGGGCGTGTTTTATGCGATGGAGGGGCTTTGGTTGGTGGGCGTGGTTTCGACGTGGGCACTGGGGAGGGGAGGGGGTTGAAGGGTGGGCGTGGTTTGGGACAGGCAGGGCGGGAGAGGCGGGGTCTGCAGGTAGGGGCGGGCCCGATGTGAGCTGGGGGTAGTCCCTTCAGCACTGAGGACAGAAAGTAACAGGCTCTAACCATGAGGAATTAAAAAACGGCCCCCTGTGACTCAGGACCGCCGGGTCCTGTGTGGTGTAGGGCAGTCCAGAGAGCAGACATCCCTGCAGGGCAGCCCACCGCCCACCTCATTCCTGCCCACCCGGCCCCAGGGCGAGCGCCACCCCTCAGGTTCAGCCCACTCAGTGGTGCAGACACGGGATGAGCAGAGAAGGGGGGGCCTGCCGAGGGTACTGTCCTCTGGGTCCAGGAGCTGTCCGTCTGGCAGCTAGTGACAGCTATTGTGGGTGAAGCCCCCACTGCTCCCGCAGCCGCTGGAGGTCCGGGTGTTCTGGGTGCAGCCCCAGAGAGCTGTAGATCTGAGTCGGTGACAATGGTCGCAAGCTGATCGGGGCTGATGTGGCTGGACACACGCAGCGGGAGGGGTCCACTGAGGCCCAGATAGATCTTTCTCCTATGGGGGGATGGGGGTCTCCTCCCACCTCTGTATGGCCCTTTCCTAGATGTGACACTTCACGTGGTCATCAGAGCTGGTGTTGGCCCTGTGTCCTCTGCTCCTGTGATTTCTGCCGTGGTCATGGCTGCCACTTAGAAACCTTTGTCCCTTGTGACATTGCCCCCAGGCCTGTCCCCAGACCTCGGCGGCAGGGCCTGTGGGGGTGGGCGGCAGAAACGGCCCGTGGTGGGAGGGGTGGGCAGGCTTCAAACTGATGTCCCCGCGTCCCCCAGTCCCCCCAGGGAAAGCGTCTCTGTGGTGCTGGGACAGCACTTCTTCAACCTCACCACGGATGTGACCCAGACCTTCGGCATTGAGAAGTACATCCTGTATCCACGCTACTCCGTATTCAACCCCAGTGAACACGACCTGGGTGCGAGGGACCGAGTTGGGCGGCAGGGCCGAGGGGCACAGGCGGTGGGCACCAGGACTGCCAGGCCTTGCCGCGTGAGGCGTGGACAGCGTCCGCGCACTGGGGTGGGTGATGAGGCCGGGGTCAGAGCAGGGCAGGCTGGGAGAGGAGGTGGAAGGAGGCGGCGTCCTGGACGGTGCAGCTAGCCCTTCCTGCCCCGAGGGTGCCCTCGACAGTGGCCTCTCCAGGGGCTGGCACTGTGGGAGCCCTTGGACATCACTGCCCCAGCAGCCTCTGCTCTTAGCCACCTCCTCATGCTGGGCTCACCTCTGACCACTCCCCCCAGTCCTGGTGCGGCTGAAGAAGCAGGGGGACCGCTGTGCCGTCCGCTCCCAGTTTGTACAGCCCATCTGCCTGCCTGAACCTGGGACCTCCTTCCCCACTGGACACAAGTGTCAGATCTCTGGCTGGGGCCATATGAACCAGAGTGAGTGGACGTTCAGACGGGTTGGGGCCTATGTGGGGTTAAAGGTAGGGTCAGTGGGGGTGGAGAATGATGGGAGCAGGGATGAGTAGGGAGACACGGGGGTTCTCCACTGCTGAGCCCTCCGGCCTCCACCCAGATGCGAGTGAGTACTCCAGCTCGCTGCGGGAGGCCCTGGTCCCCATCATCGCTGACCACAAGTGCAGCAGCCCCGAGGTGTACGGCGCCGATGTCAGCCCCAACATGCTCTGTGCAGGCTACTTCGACTGCAGAGCCGATGCTTGCCAGGTAACCAGCCCCGCCAACCCCAGGTGCAGAGAACCTGTGAGGGGACGTCTGCCCTGAAGGCCAGCCAGGGACCTCAGGACAGAGCACATGCCCTGGGCTAAGCAGAAGCACCTGGTCACCACTGGGAGAGAGAAAGCCCCTCCTCACACACATGAGTCAGCGAAGGGGTCTCAGGCCACACAGATAGGAAAAAGTCCACCTGCCCAACCCAGGGTTCCCCAGTTATCCAATTATCCATCCACATTTCCACCCACCTTTTATCCATCTGTCATCATCCAGCCATCATGTACTTATCTGTTCTTTCTTCTGTCCTTCTGTCCATCCATTTGTCTTCCTATCTACTCGTCCATCCATTAACCCACCTATCATTTATGCATTCATCTACCCACTCACCCATCCATCCACCCATCCATCCATGAACCCATCTATTCATCCACCCACCTACCTATCATCCATCTATCCATTCAACCACTCATGCATGCATCCATCCATCCATCCATCCATCCATCCATGAACCCATCCATCTGTCTGTCCACCTATCTATTCATCCACCCACCTACCTATCATCCATCTATCCATCCAACCACTCATGCATGCATCCATCCATCCATCCATGAACCCATCCCTCTGTCTATCCACCCATCCATCCATCTATCCACCCATCCATCCATCTGTCTGTCCACCCATCTATTGATCCACCCACCTGCCTATCATCCAGCTTTTCATCTACCTACCTATCCATCCATCATCAACAAATCCATCCACCCACCCACCCACCTGTCATCTGTCCATCCATCCATCTATCCACTCATCCATCTATCCATCCATCATCCATCCATCCATCCATCCATCCATCCACTCACCCATCCATCCATCCATCCATCCACACATCCATCTATCCATCCACACATCCATCTATCCATCCATCATCCATCCATCCATCCATCCACTCACCCATCCATCCATCCATCCATCCATCCATCCATCGATCCACTCACCCATCCATCCACACATCCATCCATCCATCCACACATCCATTCATCCATCCATCCATCCACTCACCATCCATCCATTCATCCATCCATCCACCTATCCACACATCCATCCCCATCAATTTGCCCATCCATCCTCTCACCCACTCAACCCATCCCCTATTTCATTCTTCCTTTCTCCTTCCTTCCTTCCTTCCTTCCTTCCTTCCTTCCTTCCTTCCTTCCTTCCTTCCTTCCTTCCTTCCTTCCTTCCTTCCTTCCTTCTTCCCATCCTT